CTGGGTTCGATTCCTCAGCACCACATAAGCAAAAAAGAAAAAAGCCGGAAGTGGCGCTGTGGCTCAAGTGGTAGAGCACTAGCCTTGAGCTGAAGAGCTGGGGGACAGCGCCTACGCCCAGAGTTCAGGCCCCATGACCAGACCCCCCCCAAAAAAAAGAAAAGAATATAGAATGGATAAAGACTACATTTTTTTTCTATGTTTGCTGGTCCTAGGCCCTTAACTCAGGATTTGGGTGCTGTCGCTTAGTTTTTTGCTCAAGACTGATGCTATATCATGTGAGCACATTTCTATTTCCAGCTTTTTTTCTGGTTAACTGGAGATGAGAGTCTCAAAGACTTTTTTGCTCAGGCTGGCTTCCAACCTCAATCCTCAGATCTCAGCTTTCTAAGTAGTTAGGATCATAGGCATGAGCCCCCAACACTTAATTTTAGAGTCCACATGGTTATGAAGCTTCCTTTAAAAAATTTAAATATTGCTTAATTATTAAATAGTAAACCATACTGAAGTTCTATAAAAGAAAATGAACTAAACCATTTAATTAAGACACTTTTTATCATCTCTACATCATCTTGGAATTGTCTTAGAGTAGACAAATAGTGATTAAGCAAAATCTCTCTTACAGTAAGAATGCAGGAAAGAAAAACTAGAACCTGCAGATAAGCAGTTTAAAAAAATCACAGTGGGCCAGGCACTGGTGGCTCACGTCTATAATCCTAGCTACCGAGGAGGCTGAGATCTGAGAATCATGGTTCAAAGCCAGCCTGGGCAAGAAAGTCCGTGAGACTATTATCTCCAATTAACCACTCAGAAAACCAGAAGTGGCGCTATGGCTCAAGTTGTAGAGTGCTTGCCTTGAGCTGAAGAGCTGAGGGACAGCACCCTAGCCCAGAGTTCAAGCCCCATGACTGACAAAAAAAAATGAGAGTGGCTAAAACCAACAAGCTATGAGCACCAGTGGCTCAAACCTATAACCCTAGCTACTCAACAGGCTGAGATCTGAGGATCACAATTCAAAGCCAGCCTGGACAGGAAATTCCATAAGACTCTTACCTGCAATTAACCAGCAAAAAGCCAGAACTAGAGCTGTGGCTCAAGTGGTAGAGCACTAGCCTTGAGCACAAAAGCTCAGGGACAGCATTCAGGCCCTGAGTTCAAGCCCCAGGATAAACATAAAAATAAACTAAGAAAAATATAAATGGTAAGTACAAATCAGAATTCTTCTCAGTAGTATAAATTTATAGTGGAATGTTGTCATTCTGGATAATGATGTACTAATAGTGCTTCTACTCACTGTGGGGCTGACATATCGCTGATTTCTTCTATCTTCAGTACTTTGGCCCTTGGAGTGTCACTGGTGGGCAAGCAGTCCTCAGGGCTTGAGCTCTTCTTACCCACGGAGCCTGAGGCTGCTCCTGCATTCGCTACATGGACAGGATGACTATCCATAGCTGTACTGCTCTCTTGCACATCAACAGTCTCAATCAAATTACCAGTTTCTTCAATAAGAACCTTCTTGAGTGGTCTCTAAAACAATTAAAATCAACAAATTAATGGTTTCCTATCTTAGGACCACAAGTTAAAAGACAGCCATATTCTTACAACTAATATCCCAGTTGTAAGTAAATTCAATTTGGTGGCCAGATTAAGGAACAATACTGAGAATAGAAAGAACAAAAAGCTATGCACCTCTCCTAACCAGATCTAAGTGGAGTGAGAGGGATTTGCACACAGAAGTAACTACAAGGCACTACAAGCCAATAATAGTTTTAAGAGGTAAACGCACAGAATACAAGCCAGGTGCCAGGATCTCACGCCTGTAGTCCTAGCTACTAAGGAGGTTGAGATCTGAGGATTGCAGTTCAAAGCCAGCCCAAGCAGGATGTCTGTTAAGATTCTTATCTACAGTTAACTACCAAAAAGGCCAGAAGTGGATCTGTGGTTCAAGGGGTAGCTTTGAGCATGAAAATTCAGGGACAGCACCCAGGCCCCGAATTCAAGTCTCAACATCAGCACACACACACACACACAAAGGAAGAAAGAAAGAAAGAAAGAAAGAAAGAAAGAAAGAAAGAAAGAAAGAAAGAAAGAAAGAAAGAAAGAAAGAAAGAAA